CTCATGCCTGCTTTTCCTGCTCATTAAATGTTTATTCTCACTAGCACTGCTTACTCAAAAATTTCCAGCTACAAGATCGCTCCCTGAAAGAAATCCGTTTGCCTTTCAGACCCCAGAAGGCTCATTCAGATGCCAAAATATATCATAATAAGCTTCATCCCAAGCTTGGTCATTGTGGCTGAGCTCCAGTGACTCCAATATACTCCACTGGTGGGGTCAGGAGAGGGACTTCAATTTAAGAGCTCATTATCTGCTATGTGACATATAGCTGGTATACCAGCTACCACTTGCTACAGCTCTGTGAAACACAAGCCAGCCCTGAGGTGATTAAGATTGTTGCTTGCGTGGACACTTGGGCATTCATCAGATGTTTGCAGGGCAGCAGGGTCTTACCACGCTGACGAGTTTTTATTTAGTCTGTAGAGCTTCCCTGAACTGTCCTTGCCCCCAAGATAGTCCACGTTGGCACATCTGCTCCCAACTTTCTCTGAAAGAGTTTGCATCCTCAGTCCAAGAGAGTCTTAAAACAGGACTATGCCATGGGAGCAACAAGTCAAACGCAGACAAACCCTTAGGGTGAGTCCACCTGACCAAAAACCAGACATCAGAAACAAATGATGTTCTTAAGGCTCCATCTGTACTTGACAGGGAACCAGATGCTTGGAAAGAAGAGGTATCTGAAGTGGGTGGAATTCATCTTCCTTGAGATTGCTTTTCTCCCTCCATTGACCAGGACAATCTTGAGACAGCTGGTTTAAGCCAGATATGTAAAGGGAAAAAATGAATTCCACCTTCAGTACCATACTTAAGCCATTTAACCAGCTTAGATCACCTGAGCGGCTCCACTGGAGCTGGTTTTGGCTGAAAGAGGCATCCCTGCTGTCCAAAAAGCCCAGACAAGAAGCCAGCCCTTCTACACCAGATGCCTACTAACGAGCATCGCTACAATCAAGCTAAGCACCAACAGCATGGGGGCTACACGTGGTCCTCACTGCTTCCCTGCCTGCTGCTCTGTCCCACTTGCACAGCGATGTGCTGAACACTAGCTTGGTCTTTATACCTCTTGTTCTTCATCTGCTCGAGCTGGAAGGTCTTCTGGTCATGGACCATCACTTGCCATCAGTTTGTACAGCTCCTCATGGATCATGGCTTTTAAAATCTGTCCTAAACTTAAGAATACAAAACCTGATTTTCTTCTTAAAAACCCTCTGTGCTGAAATACAAGTTAAAAAAAAATGCCAGGGCTGAAAATCTGCACAAGTTTGCTGTTTCCATCCCATCACTTCTACAAGCTTAAAAATGGGTCTCGATGTCACATCCAGCTGCTGTCACACTGCTGCCACACTCCCATTTTCTCTCTAATAGATCTGATGGAGGCAGCAAGGGGAAAACCCCTGGTTTTCACTTTGATGCCCTTGGATTTAAAGCAGAGTAATTCCAGGAGGAGCTCAGAGACCCTAGACATCTTGACATTAGAGACTCAGATAACCATTCTCTTCTTCCACCTCTTGGACATCACAGTAGCTCTAGTGAAATCTCTGCTAATGAACAAAGTGTCACTAGCCAGTGTCTCTGGGTGCTGGAACCCAACCATTGATCCCATTAAACATGAGATTGCACCCCAGTGTGTTCTGGCCCAGGCAAAGCTTGGGAGTTAGTAAGGAAGAAGGACAAGGACAGTTTCCCAGCAGCAGTTTGGTTGCAACCACCCTATTTTGGAGGATGAAAGAGTTAATAATATGGAGGACATTTCCCTTTTCAATTCAACCTGTTGACTGAAGCACCAGTACTGTGACCATCTCCACTTCTCCCAAACCCATAACTCGGCAGAAGTGGAAGATGAGCCTCTGTTGTGCAGGGCCACCCAAGTCCAGAAGCCTGCTCTCCCCAACAGCTGTCCTGGGAGCTCACAGAAGAAGACCTTTATAAAGCACATTCCAGTGAGAATGCAACAGATTTCTTCCTTAACTCCAGCCAGCCAAAATCTTTGTGTCTCCTAAGCAAGGACAGAGTCTTGCAAGATCTCCCCTTTCCATTTCCTCCCTTAGAGTAGGTTCACCATTCCAACCCTGATGGTGACTGTGGAGAGGGGCACAAAGACTGTGAGACCCAGCGTTGCCTGAGCCACACCAGACAGTCCTGCACTTCCCCACGTGCCTTCCAGCAGTGGGAGGGCTGCAGCAAGAAACCTCAGCTCTGGTACTTCCACACAAGTTTACATTAAAACCATCAGGCTCCTACCTTTACTTTTTCACCGTTTATCTCCACAGTTTTAATCATAAAGTCAACCCCAATCGTGGCTCCTTGACCCGGTGGGAAAAGCCCCTGAAAGAAAACAAGAGTTCCATTAAGCAAATTTCTGCAGCACGACAAAACTCTCTCTGGGTGCCAATCTTCACCCTTTCCCATCCTCAAACCTATAACTCCCTTGTCCCCTTCTCTAGACACTTACTTCCATTACATTTAGAGGGGAAAATGTGACATTTCCCCAATACAGAGGTTACCATAGTTCAGACCCACAGTGTTTTCGCTGCCTACACGTCCCGAGCTGTGTAGCAAGTCGCTGACTTGAGAGGTGGGAAAACAGAAGAAAAGGAGGATGCATACAGAGAAAAATATAAGGAAAAGAGAGGGGGAAAGCCCTTGTGCTTCTGTGCAGCTGGCAGAGGCAGGGGAAGGGCAGATGGAGACCCTGTCCTGCTTTCCAATGCCTTGAAAGAGGAGGGACCACCTGCATGGCATGAGATGCCTTTGCTCCTGCAACCTCACACCTTCCCTCTCCCCTCCACCACACACCACAGCACAGAAAGGTACTTCTGGCAGCTCCCAGCACCGAGGTCACATCCCTGCACAGCATTTCAGGAGCAAAGCACAGAGCCAGCCACCACCAGTGCCACAGCAATGGCAAGGGCTGGCGTGATGCTGGTATTTGATTGCAGCACCATCAGAAAGGAGCAACAGCAAACCAAAAAAAAAACCCAACCAACCAAACAAAACCCAGAGCTTTCTGATTTCTGGAGTCTAGGTCTACAAAGTCATGTTGATTTTGGGGCACATCCATCCCCTACGGCAGCAGCACTGTAAAAGCACAAGCAGTAGAACTGGCCATAGATTTTTGTGGTTAACTCTTTAGGGTTGACTAGCTTTATTGTCACACGTGGTTGGAGAGTGTTTAACATCACCATGGCCTTAAAACTAAGATTAACAGTGAGGGGGAAAATCACTGACAGTTAATAGTGGGGAGTGTAACAAAAAGCCCACAATTTTTATAGTGCATCATGCAAAACTTTCTCTTGCCCTGGATCACATAAGCCTGGTCCTTTCCTTGTTGTTCTACCACAAAAATAGGTCTGGTGTTTAACAGAAGACTGGACTGACAGCCCAGGACCCAGATTACTTAATTATGTATTAATGACAAGTAACAGAGAGAGCTTTGTGCAGCGAGGGATGGGGAGGAGAAGGCACATAAGAGCACACCAGGAGATGTGCTGGTCCTTATAACAGGTCCAGAGCACCTCCAAATCAGGAGAAGTTGTCCCAGCAGCTTTCAGAGGAGACTTTCTATCTTCAGAAAGCCATGAGCTTTCTCCAATGCAAGGTCCCCAACAAAACCAAGTAGAGCATTAGATACAGATGTGCTGCTTGTGCCAGTACATTGCTACAGGTGATGCACACACCAAGAGTGTGGACAACAAAACGCTTTGGAGCTGCAATGCTGGCAGAGCCCTCAGTTCACAGCCACCAGCTCCACACTACCAATCCCAGTGCTGTCCCCACCCTGATATCCCACATCCAAGAGGCAACCAACCTTACCTGAGTGAAGCGACGGACTAAGCAGGTCTTCCCCACACCAGCGTTGCCAATTAAAACAATTTTGAAGAGGAAATCATAATCTTCCATACTCATTTACGCAGCTGCAAGAGAGACAGGGAGCACAATGCGATGTGAACCGAGGCGGTGGGGAAATGCCCTTTTATTCCAGCTGAACTTTATTCCTCCAAATATTCAGAACAAAGGTCTCCAGGCACGTGTGTGGCTCCTCAGATAAGGGAGAAGAGCCCTTCCCATTCCAAGCCAGGACATCCACGTAGTCCAGTGTCAGCTGCTGCAACACCTCAGCCACATTTTGGCTTTTGCACCATCTCACCTGGCTGCCCGTGAATTACAGATGCTGGTTTTCAGCTTTCCAACCAATGCTCCACAGCCCAAGCCACCATTTCTCAGTTTTCCCCAAATGTTTGTTTTGCTTTTGACTATGCCAGCTCCAAAGGACAGAGTGGACTTTGACACATTGTCCAAGGGGATAGTGTAATTTATTTGTTAGGGCAAAACCCACAAACCCCCTGTGACCTCCCCTCCAGGTGGGTGCTGGGTACCCACAGAGCAGGGCTGGGGCACACATGAGGGCAGAACAGATGGGGAAATTAAAATAATCTTAAAATTAAAGCAGCAGCATTTGCCTTAAAATATAAAAAAGCTCATTTGCTAAAATCTTAGCAGGGAGCAGGGAACAGTTTGGCTGAAGTACATTAAGAGAAGTTTTTAAAAAAGAAGAAATAATAGATGCTCTTAGGAATATTGCTGCTACCAGGATAGTTTTCTTTAGTTTTGTGAGGACAGCTTGCTTGGTGTAAAGCTCAAATGGGAAGTGAACACAGTGGAGCCTGGGGGGTACCCAGCACACATCCCTCCCACCCAAGTCCAACCTCCTCGACAGGATGCAGAGACTGACATTTAAGCAATGTCACAGGAGATGGGCTGGGTTGCCTACATGGGGGAAGACCTACAGGGCTTCCTTAGGTCACTTGAAGTATGGGGAGGAACGAACAGATACATGTAGAGCTTGCTGTGGCTGAGCAAGTCATGAGGGATGAGTAACTACACCTCCTTCTCCAGTGCACCCAAGGGTGCTGCCAACACCGTGACCAGAGAAGGGGTCTCTAACCTTCAAGAAAAGCAACAACAGGCAGAAGAGGATCAGTTAAAGATTGTAAGTAACAGAAAAACCCACAGACAAGGGAGCAGAAGGGCAGTGTCCAAACCCAGCTGTGTCCAGGAGGATCCAGGTATTATATGTGGTGTCAAAGACCTGTCCTCAAGACTGGTCTGGGGTAATGGCAAAAGAGACTTCAGGAAAGAGACACATCTACAAGCCGTTGGTTGAGGTACCAGGTAAGGCGATACCTGAGCATCAGTACCTAACCCACCAGTGCCTATAGGTTAAGCACTGGATGAGGAGACAGAGTCAAAGACGGGAAGCGTAGGAGATGGGTGGGGGAAAAAATAATGAAAAAAGTATTAGGAAATTGCTCTCCTCAGTAAAGCCCTAGAATGCTCAGAGGGTTTTTACAGAGCTGACAGAGAGCAGCATGGGTGAAACGAGCTTCTCACACTCAGCCCAAAGGTAGAGTGCCCTCTCCTGCTGCCTCCAAAGGTCCTTCCTGGAGAGGGTTCATTGCCACCCTGCTGTGGCTGCACACCAGAAGGCCCCAGCTGCAGACCTGGTCCCACCACACAGCTGTGATAGGCTTACAGTCAAACAGCCAGAGAGCACAAGATAAAACTCAGACAGCCTGGGAGTGCCTCACAGGCCACACCAAAACAGCTCTCCAAGAACCACCAAGAGCCTGGTGGACCTGAAGGCAAAAGAGGTAGAAAGCTGATTCAGCTGCTTCACATCTATGTGATCCTTGGCCTTTCCAGCAGCCTAAAAATAGGGTAACCACACCAATTAGTGACTAATGATCTGCATCACATCAGCAGATGGTTAACAGGGACATGGCTGAGTCACTACAGGGACGTGTCACTTTGCCTGGGTCAGTGACATAACACGGCACTTGTCCTGCTACTGATTTGTGGAACTGGATTAAAGTGCCACCAAACAGCACCAGCTGGAGCTGTCCTGAGGATGCTCTAACCTCACCTTGCTCCATCACACACGACCTTACAGCTCTCTCCTGTCTCTTAAGACAGTGAAACAACAGCAGGACCTTAAAGAACAGCCTCTAAAAATGCCTCTTTCTTTCTGGGGTTGTTATTTTGTGTAATCATTTCATATTTCCATGCCTGGCTTTCCCAGAGTGGGACTGGATAATGACAGTATTAAGAACATGTTGACAGTGCTCTTACAATCGAGGCTGAATGTTAATATACAGTTTCAAGCTTTCACACTAGCCAAAGTAAAGAAAAACGTGATCATCCACTAAAAGCTATTTAAAGACTAACGAGACTTACTCAGCACTGGATAATTATCCCTGTGATGCTTCAAATCCCAGAGGGCATTGCTCCCCCCTGGAGGGATTTCAGTTCTATTACTTGTACCCTAAACAATCCAACATTCAAATTTATCTTCTCAGGAAGCTTAAAAATAAACTTCCTCTGCAGATCTTTGAGCTCCTAAATGCTAAATGGTTCAGACATACCCTAGAGTTATGTCTGATCTCCTTCATTAGGCTCCAAGACTAATCATATGTGATAATGACCCCAAATGGGAACTGGAAGATGAGCCAAGGCCATAAAACAAACAACGTGATGATGAGATTAAATGCCAGAACTGAAGTGACACAAAAAGTGGAGGCACAAGAGGGGAGAAAGCAACGGACTGAGCAGCAAGGAAGATAGAGGAGTAATCTGGGAGGTGGAGTGGGCAGCTGAAGTTGACCATCGCTGCCCTGTCATTCTCCGTGTGCCAAAATTGGTGTTTCTCCCTCCGATGTGCACACACACACACTAACCCACACACTGTCAGCACTGAACACAGAACCACTGCACCAGTTACCCTTACGAAATTCTTCTCCTCCTGCAACATGAGCCTTTCGGCCAAGTGACCTTTGCTGCTGACTCAGGCTCACACAACCTTCCCTCTCCCCAGGGATGAAGATGTGTCTCAACCTCTGCCCTGCTCAACACCACCCTGGCTCAGCAATACATCACACTTGAAATATATGCCTTAAAATAAAAATTTAAAAAATGCAGAATGCAACATCGTTTGTTTGGTTTTTGTTTTGGGGTTTAGTGTTTGGGTTTTGTTTTGGGGTTTAGTGTTTGGGTTTTGTTTTGGGGTTTTTTTGTTGTGGGGTTTTTTTAATCTTCTGTTTTCTTGTCTTTGCAGGCACAGGGCTCTGCTTTGCACCACTGCAGTGGCTGAAGGCATTAGGGCTGCAGCTCCCTGTCCCACCCTTTGGCAAAGACAAGACCCTGCAGCAAGGGTAGGGGACAGGATGCCCATCCATGCCTCAGCCACCCCTCACCACATTTATCTGTCACCAACAGGGCTGGCTACAGCACAGAGACATGCCCCACCATGAGATGAAACAGGAGCAGAGCCTGAGCCTGGTAGCGGGGCAGAAAATCAGGTTTCACAGCTGGTTTTTTCCAGAGGTGGTTTATACAGCTCACACCCTATCCAGCCCCCATGGCTCACAGCCCCTCTGGACTGTTCCCACCAGCCTTGCAGGGGACCAGGTTTCATAGAACCATAGAATGATGTGGGTTGGAAGGGACCTTTAAGATCATCTAGTTCCAAGGACATCATTCTAGTTTGCAGTGGTTTATTTAATTTGGATCACTGCTCTGCACCACTCCATCATGCAGCCCCACATATGGTCACTGTAGGCAGGAACAAGAGGCCAGGAGGGAGGAATTGAAGCAGGGGAACCACCCAGAGAGGTGGATTAGCAGGAAGGCAGCTAAAGGATGGCAGGACACATTTCAGGCTTACCTGGTTCTCTTTACTTGGGCAAGACAGCACAGTAAATGCTCTTGGTATTTTTCAATTATTAATTCCTATTCAACCAAAAGATTGTTGAGATCCACCCATAACAAAAGCACAAGGCTTTCACCCCTTCTTCCCTCCACGCAAGCTCCAGCCCCCATGAAGACACCTGAAAAAAGCCGTGTAGAAGCCACAAGTTGTGTTCCCCATACACTCAGCACTGCTGCAAAGGCAGACACACACCAGTTCTTCCCACTTCTCCCAGTCTCTTGACTGCTAGAAACTCTCCCATAGCATGGTTAGCAGGACCTGGTCCTCTGCTTCACTCTGCCATGGGCTCTTCACTGGCTGTAGATGTGGGACAGCAGCACAGCTGATGGAGGAGAAAAACACTCCCACCCGCTTCTGCTGTTCACCACGTGCCACAAAGCAAGGAGCTTATCCACAGTAAATACATGCTTCAGGGAATAAGACACTCAGGTACGTTTTAGTTTGTTCCCCTACATGATGTCCTCTCTCTCCATTCACCTCTTAGTTCTCCCTGATCCATTTTGGTTTACTTGACAGGTTTTATCATCATCTGAACCAGTTATTTTAAATTCTTTTTGCAGTTGTTTTTTTCACCCTTTAGTTTGGATGGGCACAGAGTGTTCCTCCTCATCTCTGACCTGCTCCAACCATGCCATGCTCTGCTTCCTGGGGTACCAACTGTCAGAAACAAGGCAAAGGTACCTGGGAGCAATCAAGCTCTTCTTCAAATGGAAGAAACCACTATTCTGCCTGTCCCTCACTGGCTTTTACACTAGGACCAGCCTTTGCACAAAACAATCAGCAAGTGTGAGTAAGGTTTTTAGCTGATGAAGATATCTGACACTTCTCTCAACTCCTTTGCTAAAGGAGGACGTTCCACCTCTAGGGATGATGACAGCAGGCTTTACAGTGATGATTTTGCTGCAGTTGTTTGGCTTAAGAAGCCAAAAATAGAGTGGGAGACTTCAAAAGAGCATGCCTTTCTTGGTTGACCACAAGGTGTGGCAACCTCTGCCTGTCTTTTACCCTCCCTGAAGATTGCAGGATAACACATGCTGAGGAAACAGAATGGACAGCCTTTGTCTGAAGCAAAAAACCTTTCATGTCTAAAAGAATGTTTTGATGCCTTCTAGAAGAGCAAAACAGAAATAACCTGTTGTTCCTCAGCCTCCA